GACTGAAGTGTAGCTAAATCGGAGAAGAGCCGCAGCACGAGCGAGGGGGAGAGCAGCAGCAGCGCGAGCGAGCGAGAGCTGGAGCAGCAGCAGCAGCGCGAGTGAGCGAGAGCCGGAGCAGTAGCAGTAACGCGAGGAAGAGCCAGAGCAGCAGCAGATTTGGCTGGTATGGAGACCGTCGCTGAAGGGGCCTCGCTCTGGGGGAGAGCCGCCATGGAGATGTCGTTGGTGGCGCCGACTTCAAGGTAGCCGCTCCATGGGGGTGCGGGATGGAGCACCGTCGGTGCCGGCAGGTCGAGTTAAGGAGAAGGTGCAATGTGATGAGTGTAAAACCTCTTTGGTGGCGCTCAGTAGGCCTCGGCTTCGTCCGAGGAGTCGGTGAGGATGTTGCGGTTTCGGTGGAGCAGGTTAAGGCGGTGCTGTGGGGATGGAGCAGCCGCAATAGACGAGGTGATCGTCGGAGCAGCTCCTTGGAGGTGGAGGACGGGGCGGCTGAACCAGCGGGACGATGATATGGACGACAGATCCTCATCCGGGGAGGTGGATGAGGGACGTCGACCTATTGCGGTGGACGACGTCTTCGAGGAAGAGGCTCCGGCTGGGCAGTGGTGAGGTGGCGGACGGAGAAGGGTGGGGTTTCGCGGCTGGAGCGGAGAGGTTATGGCGGCCTGGGATTTTGAATGGCGAAAAGGAGGCGATGGGAGGGGGGAACCATGACTTAGGGACGCGCTTGTACAAAATGTAGGGTGTGTTACAAAAGTACCCCCACCGATTTGAACTAGCGGCCCTTTCATCTCAGGGTTAGAAGGCAGATTTCACGTGTCGGGATTTGGCAGCTAGAGGGAGTTTTCGCGCGCATTGTAATTTTGGGATAGCAAGGCACGAGTTGTGAAGGCGCCAGTTTTGGGAGCACGATATCTGAATTTTCGGGATATAACAAGGTGGGGTTGAATTTTAGGGACAAGCCTAACGTGTAATATTGTACTTGTACGTACGAAATCAATTCGCACTTCCTTCAACGAAAAAAACGAAAAATATAAAACTATTCACACCACACAAAGAGAGAGTCTTGTCTCGTTTTACTCTACAAATGCTATTCAAAGCTATGAATCCATGTTATGTCCAATTAAATTTTTTCGATGGCTGTATAATGCATGTAACCTACTCATACCAACATTTTAGTGCATTCCAAATGTCTATACTACCGCTGGAATTCAAACTAAATTTGAATTAGTTTCTCTATTTCAATAAGAATCTACAATCATGATTGTTGCCAACTTCAACCATCATTCGCGTATTACCTTAACAACACACCACATGATTACTATAGAGATAGATATGAACTATGTGTACTATATGAACTCGAATTCAGTTTTTTGAATACACTTGATGTTGATTCCAAATAACAATACATTTGATGTACTAACTAGATATTCATAATCTAAACCATGTTCCATACATACACCGTGTTTATCACACAAAGTATAGTGCCCCGCCCCTACATTATGACAAGTATTTAGCCCTGAGCTACAAAAGCCACACATTAGCCCAAATTATAATCAATGTTCTACATTATGATATCTTCTTCAAGTATCTGTATCCACTTTTTTACAATGAATTATGATCTCTATTTGTCTTTTACACCTTCACGATCCTCTTCTCTTTGTAGCTAGCTAGCGCTAACTTTCTATCGCGCATGCACACGCCCGCCCCCTCTCACCCTCCCTGAGCGTCCTCTCCATCGCGCATGTTCATTATTTCTCTTTAGGTCGTTCACCTGCGGTGTGTGTAGCCCCCCCGGCTCCTTCTTTCTAGCACACACCGGTCGATATACCTCTCTAGGCAAGTGTGCCTACCACAAACACATACTTCACCTCTTCTCTTCTCACCGTCAATGCCCCCCTCTGTCCAATACGGTTCCACGCAGGTGCACACTCCCGCCCCTCTTTTCATCGATCTCATACTCGCACACTTCTCGCCCCTTGACATAGTAGGCCTCTCACACCACCTCCTAGCTGCACCCCTCTCCCATGTCTGTCTCTCCGGACCTTATTTGCTTCTAACACATGCATGCATGTATATGTACCGATCTCCCTATATATATCTAGGTCGACTATAATTCTTTTTCCCGATGCACCGATAGACTTACCTCACTAGTTATGTCTCTCCCTTTCCCAGACACATGACGGTTGATCTTCCTATGTAGTTACGTATGCTTACCACAACCACATCATCTCCCCTCATCATCCTTGCATACCCCCCGACCCGTCTCTCACACACACGTCGATAGACATATAGACATCCCCGGCCCTCTCTTATTGATATTGCACACGTACCCTCCGTTTGTCTAGCAGGTGTGGCACCCCAGCTCAGAGAAACCAGAACACCCCGTATTCCAGTCCAAAGATCAAGGAGAAGTCTTCTGGAATACGGTACTGCTTAGCATAGAACAAATCAACTCTTTATTATAGTCTATATGGGTACAAGGGGATTACATCGGCACGGAGACACTACGCCTTCCACGGTTGCTCCATGCAAGCAGCAGAACAACACGAAGCAGCGGAATAACTCTAGCAGCGGAACAGTGACGACGGTGGTGAACTCCACTCTGCAGGGACTCTAGCTGGAACGCTTATCCTAGCTCACAAACAAGGAATCCACGGCAAACAAGCAATCAAATCCGGCATGACCTGCAAGATGGCATGCCACGCTAGGTCATTACATTGAATGTACTTGCAAGCTCACAGCAACCAAGAGCAATCAAGACAGACAATAGCATGGCATTTACAGGTTAACAAGGATTAACATGAAACTATCTGAACAACTTGGCATGTACAACATGATATAGCTAGAACAATACGAGCATGGCATGAACATGTAAACATGATGATACTAGCATGCAACATGATGACTTTATCATTCACCAACTTATTCTGCTCGAGTTACCTCGTAACTGTTGCATGCATAAACTTACCATCACGGACGTCATACGATCATCTCAGGATCCAATCAAGCTTGGTATTAACAATACCGTAGTCATCATTCATGACCACAAGGAGCATGACCTTTACCCTTGACTCTCGCGTAACACCACAAATATCCAACAAGTCAGTATCCTTGATACCACGGTGATCATCTCTTGATCACAATCAATTTATTTCTCATCACCGAACCAGGGTTGTGATTAAGCACATTATTATTATTATTGTTGATCCATAGTGTGACCAACTAAGAACTGGGCCCTTATCCACGGGCGTGGCTATCGGTAGATTTAATACACACTCTGCAGAGGTTAGCACACTGCACCCACATCACAGACACATGGCCTCGCACTCCCATTCGGGTGGACCAACGACGTTCCGACAAAACCGATCTACTGCCATGACACTCTCCCGGCCACTCCGACAAACTCCCCTTTGGGCTAAGTCATGGGTGGCCCCGTGCCTACCAAAGGCATGAACGGCCACCGTCGTGGCAAAACAAAACGGTCCCAAATGGGGACAATGGTATACCAATCACAATAACGGGCACACAAGGCTTATGCCGTCCTACCCGACCAAGGTAGCGCCCGCTCATAACCTTCCCTCGTTGGAGGCATTGGCGAGAGGCATGACAATAGACCCAGTTAGGACCCCCCCATAAAAGGCAAATGTGGTTGCACTGGTCAGCTCGATATGGTGGCACCATGACACAACCAACAGTTGTTCAAGTTCAATTAGGTCCGATTAAACTTGAAAGCAAATGATGCTAAGTCATCACTACTATAGGATGCTGCTAACGCGACACTACGACCAGAGACCCTTCGACGAAATTGTGTGTGATGCCATAATTGCAAACGGTGGTGTAAAATAACCATCAAAAAAGGTGCAAAACATTTGCGATGAAGGATGCATCAAACACGGTTCAGATTTTAGTTGCGTGTGTGATGCAGGGCATATGGTTCAGCTCAATTAACTGTTTGCGATGAGGAGGAACAAAAGAAACAGGCAG